AGAAGATTCTTGAGTAAACTAATAACTGTAGTTTTGAACTCTATCCAGTAGTTTGCTTTCCTCCATTTCTTTCATACTATTTTCCTGTTTTTTATTTCATGGATTTCTACTCTGACCTTCATCATTTCTTTGTTTCTACTTATTTTGAGTTAGGTTAGCTCTTTCTTTTTCCAGCTTCTTAACTTGGAAGCTTACATTATTGATGTTAGACCTTTCGGAGCCATGAATATTCCTTTAAGCACTACTTTAACTGCACCTCATGCATTTTTGTATTTTATTTGTTTCAAGATAATTTAAAATTTTCCTGTATTTCTGCTTTGACCCATGTATCTTTATAAGTGTTATTTAACTTGTAAAAATTTTGGTATTCCCAGATTTCTTCCTGTTACTGATTTCTAATTTATTTCTATTATAGTCCAACAACATACTTTATTATTACTGTAGCCCATTTCAATTTATTGAGCATTGTTTTATTCATCAATATATGGTCTGTCTTAGAGAAGTTCCATGTGTACTTGAAGAAGATGTATATTTTCCTGTTGTTTTATTGCATATTTGATATCCATATTGATTAATCAAATATATTGACTGTGTTTGAGGCTTTGATTGTCTCTAATTCTATTGATTACTGAAAGAGGAGTGTTGAAATCTCCAATTATAATTGTTGAACTGTCTGACAATTTTTGTTTCATGTGTTTTGGGCCTTTGTTGTTAGGCACATATATAGTTAAAACTGTTATATCTGATCATTATATTTTAACTGTTGATGAAGTAATAATATTCATGTTTATTTTCTGAGTGAAATTTCTGTCTTTTGACTTTCAGAATTTGTCAATATTCATATTTTTACTATTGATTTTGAAGAATAAGCGTTATATAAAAGATCACTGTTTTTTATATGATCCAACCCAGTCCATCTTTTTTTGTGATACAAAATTTGTCAATTTATAAATACTAGTACACTTGAATTTATAAATAATTTTCTTATTAATTTCTCCTATTACCTTTATGCTTTCAAAGTCTGTTTATATTCTGGAAGATATATATATATTTTATATATATTTTATTGCTTATTTTTACAGAGAGGAAGAGAGAGGGATAGAGTCAGAAACATCCATCAGCTGCCTCCTGCACACCCCTCACTGGGGATGAGCCCACAACCAAGGTACATGTCCTTGACCAGACTGGTTTCAGCACAGAAGATATTAAACATGTATATTTTTCACCTTACCACAGAAAGCCAACGTTTTATTGACTAGTTGATCTTCTTTTGACACATTTAATACACTATCTTTATAGTCTATATTGCTATGCATATATTTTCTGTTTATATATGAAAATTATACTGGGTTTAATTACTATGGCCTTATAGTATCGTAGTAGTTATATGCTAACTTTCTTTAATACCCATAATACCTTTGTTTCTTTTCAAAACACATTGCTATTCCTCTACTGGGGATGTGCCTGCGACCAAGGTATATGCCCTTGACCGGAATTGAACCTGGGATCTTTCAGTCCCCAGGCGGATCCTCTATCCACTGAGCCAAACCAGTCGGTTTCGGCGATTATGTCCTTTTTAAAGAAAAGCTCCCTCCAGTTATTACATGAAAATGCCTGTGTTTTCATGCTTGAATGTCATATTGGGTTAGTGTAAAGTTTCTAGGTATAGACTTTCTATCTCTGAAAAAGTTGTTAATATTGTTTCACAGTCTTCCATTTATTTTTACTGGAGGTATCTGAGCCAAGACTGATTTTTGCCCTCATCTGGTGACTTGCATTTTGAAAAATGAACCCTCTCCCCAATAAACTTTTATTTATTTTTGAATTCTGGTATATTTACCAAACATATCTGAGGTCAAACATTACGAGTATTTCCTAGATTGTAAGAGAATCTGAGTTAGGTCTTCTTCTATTTCAAAAATGCTTTTTTATTATCTTTGAATGTTTTCCTATTCTGTTTGCCCTATCCAATATATGTCAGATCTTTTTTGTTTTTCTTATATACACCTAATTTTCTTTCTGATACTTATTTTATTCATAGAATAATTTTATCTTCCTATTAGACACTTAGATTGTCTCAAAGTTTTTATTGTTACAGATATCCACACATGTTCTTAACAGCAATGATGTTGCTTCAGAAGGTCAGTAAAATTGCCCTAATTCTTCCTAAGGATGCTCAGTGCAAAAAACCTTTAAATCATGTTTGTGAATCCACTTGCCTGTCTTTTCTTCTTATGCAGTCTTGGGATAACTAATGAATGATGAATGATTTTAAGGGTTTCCCAGTCATTATCATAAAAATTAGACCCTAGTTTTGTGACTGAACATATATTAAGGAAATCTTCAGATTAAAGAAAGTAGTTTGGTGATGGCTTCGTCACTACTCTCAATAAAGATACTGAAGACTTAATGGTAGGGGCGACAAATGGTATAGTCTCTATGCAGGACTAACTGATGTTATCTATTGAGCTGGATATATTCTGTTTATCTCTCTAGACTACTCTCCCCATAGCTCTGGGTCCGGGAAGGATGATCCAAATGGACCACATCAGTGGGTTCTCTTATCTTTTGGTTTCTGGTTGGAAGCCAATGGAAAGCACTAGCAGGATATGGTCAGGTGACCATCTCCATAGTTACTATTTTCCAGTTCCAATGATGGTTTCATCTCCTTGTCCTTTTAGGCCTAGCAATGGAAATGGCTCCATACTGTTGCTAGTTTTGGATATCTGCATCATTTCTTGTTGTTTTTTCTAAAACTCCTATGGCTTTGCAAGTATGCTATGTTTGCTACATACACATCTAGTAATTTATCTTACATGAGTATAAAATAGGTATATGAAATTATTCTTTGTGGCACACTCTCTGGGAAGCATGCCGACACCATTCCTTTTCCCGATTTTAGCCCACTTTTTCCTCACAGGTATGTATCTTCTAAACTTTAAAGAACACCAGGAGACTTGCATTTAGGAGAGCAATAGGCAATAGTAGCTCATCTAGGCCAACCTTATGAACCTATTTCCAAGGCCCTCTTTCTTCTGACCTCCTAGAGAACTAAGGCAGTCCAGAATAGGTCTCTGTTGTTGCTTCCTCTATGTTAAGCACTTCCTTGTTTCACTGTCCCTGGCTTTTATAAATGTACTATTAAAATATAATGTCCACATATAGAGGATTATAAAATAACGGTCTAATGACACGGTGGACTATTATGTAACTGTAAAAAACTTAAAACATTGATTAGATATATCTGTAGAATAGTTTCCAATTTATTTTCCCCCCACCCTTCAGTTATTCTTTTAGTAATTTATTCCTCATACAATCAAGGCCCAAAAAATATTTGTGAAGTCTCATTTATATCTCAGTGATCACAAAATACAAGAGTTTATTTTACCATGCTGTTCTTCTAATCTTTGCTGTTATCGTTTTTAGCTTTATTGAGGTTTACATGATATACAAAAAATTCTACATATTTAATGCATACTTCTTGAGTTTGGACATAATTACATCTGTGATGTCATTAGTTTGACCAAGGTAGTAAGCATATTCATTATCTCCAAAAATTTTCCTTTATTTGTGTGTATGTGTATGTTTTAATATATTTTTATTGATTTCAGAGAAAATAAGAAGAGAGAGAGAGAAACATCAATGATAAGAGAGAATCATTGATTGGCTGCCTCCTGCATGCATGTGCCACACTGGGGATCGAGGCCACAAACCCATGCATGTGCCCTTGACTGGAAGTTGACCTCTATCCACTGATCCAAATAAGCTAGTACTGTTGTTTGTGCGTGTTGTAGGAACATTGAACATGAGCTCTATCCTCTTACTATATTTCGTAAGTGTACAATTATCATATTTTTAACTATTGGTTTTATACTCGCAGATCTCTAGAACTTATTCACCTTGTATAATAAACTTTTAAAAAATATATATTTTATTGATTTTTTACAGAGAGGAAGGAAGAGGGATAAGAGAGTTAGAAACAACAATAGGAGAGAAACATCAGTTAGCTGCCTCTACACACCTCCTACTGGAGATGTGCCCGGCAACCTAGGTACATGCCCTTGACTGGAATCGAACCTAGGACCTTTCAGTCTGCAGGCCGATGCTCTATCCACTGAGCCAAACCAGTTAGGGCATTGTATAACAGAAACTTTATGTGAGTATAGAGAAGGCATGGTACCAAGCTGTGGATATGTTACCATATGTATAAGAGAAAAAAATAAAGGATGTATATTTGCGCGCACGCGCGTGTGTGCATATGTGTGTATCTATCTCTTCGTATATGTACATATATGCAACAGAGTGAGAATGTGAGGAGGAGAGTTTTTGGAAGGGTACAAAATAAATTATAACTGGTTGTTTTAAGGGAGGAAAACTTTTGTTTCTTAAATGCATTATTTTAATAACAAGTATTGAGAGCCTTAGAGAAACAATGACTAAATAAGAATTAGAGAAGTCATCCCTAAGTGACAGAAAGAGCCAATAAATTATAAAAGCTATTAAATATTCTAAGCAGTGAAAGTCTCATGACTTAATTTCTCACTATGGTCCTTTTATGGGATAATACACTATTATAAATTCTGTGTAGAAGTTATTTCCTGTTCAGGGTTGAATGCAGGAGACCATATATGATAAATATTTGTTTTAAACATGATCATCTTTTATTATTTAAAAAAGCTTTTCAGTTCTTCTGGCCTCCTTCCATATTTACAGAGTAATATGACTGCACAACAATCTTAGTTTCCAGTGAAAGGTACAACTTCATTAAAGGAAATAGGACATAAGACTCTTCAGGAAATTAATTAAGAAGGAAAGAGAAAGACTGCTGGGGAAAATAGTCATTCAACTAAAGTTGTTTAAAATCACTCATGTTTATGATACTCAAAAAATTGTAAAAATAGGAAAGATTTACTAGCTTCATTTTTTAAGGTGGTTTTAGTATTTCCTGATATGGTTTCCTCTGCTAAAAAGTTCCACAAAATACAGGGAGATTCACTTACCCTTCCTGGAACTGTGCTTGGGCAGACTCCTCTGCTACAAGCGTCTCATACTCCTCAGCAGCAAACCTGTCCCAGTCGGAGGGCTCAGGCATATCATTCTCCACATCCTGATTGCAAAGATTACCACCACAGAAAAGAAAAATTATTAAAGACAAAGAACTGGAGATAGGTGTATAGATCACTAAAAACAAACAACTATCTGAAACTATTTCATTTCAACATGTAAAAAAAGTGCTAAAGTAATAATACTCCTAAAGTGATTTTCCACACCTCCAATCACAAAATTATAGTCATTGTCCATCATCTAAATTCTTTAGGTCTACATTTGTTAGCCTTGTAATCAGAGACCTTTTTCTAGATCCTTCCTCCCTGGTACTTTGCACAACAGCTACCTGCATATGTTATCCCTTCCTCTGGCAAATTTTTGCTCCTTCGTTAAAATCCAGGTCATCCCTAGCCGGTCTGGCTCAGTGGAAAGAATACTGGCTTGTGGACCGAAGAGTCACAGGTTCAATTCCGGTCAAGGGCACATGCCCAGATTGTGGGTTCGATCCCCAATGGGATCAAGTAGGAGCAGCCAATCAATGATTCTCTGTCATCATTGATGTTTCTATCTCTCCCTCTCCCTTCATCTCTGAAATCCGTATTAAAAATTAATAAAACTAAAATCCAGGTCTGATACCATATCATCTCTGCTATCTTCCTAGAAACAGCCCTTCTCCCTAAAATCATTTCCTTTGCTATACTGTATATGCTTTAGGTTTCCTCCTCTTGTACTTCTTTTTATCTCTATATACCTATTCTTTATATATTGTCTTTTTCATTTCTGTATAACCAGTATTTCTTCAACAGTGCCTAGAATTTAACTGAGCACTTTTTAACTTTCATTTATTTTTTTGCACATTAGAACATTAATTAGCTCCTCTGATAAAGAAAAGTAAAATTTAACAGTAAAATTTGTAACACAAAAGAAATAAAGGGGGAAAAGGCCATTTTCTTTTCCTTCCATAATATGGACAGCATCTTGGATTATATATTCCAAGTAAAATATGTTTTTCCATAATGATAATGAGTTCGCGTTTTCCTAAGATGTAGGGTTAATTATGCCTAGAAGAATTTAAATAGTTAAAAATTGATCATACAATGTGTTAATTATTACACTTAATCCATTTTAGGGATCCCAATACCAACCTTTTAACATTCTGAAATTTGCATGCATTTTTAGACTTATAATTGGCAATGAATATTTGTATTTAGGAGGTGATCTTTGTATTCTTAGTACTATTTAGGTCAAAAAGTTATGCAACATGTAGAAGGAAAAGAATGTAAAAGTTTCCTGTTGTACTCCTATATGATTCAACTGAAACAGTCTTTCTGTATTAACATAATTTTGACTTTTAAAACGGGAATGAATGTTGAAGGGGAAGTGGTAATATTTTTATTTTATTTATTTATTTTAAAAATATATTTTATTGATTTTACACCGAGAGGAATTGAGAGGACAGAGAGTTAGAAACATCGATGAGAGAGAATCATCGATCAGCTGCCTCTTGCACACCCCCACTGGGGATGTGCCTGCAACCAAGGTACATGAACTTGACCAGAATCGAACCCGGGACCTTTCAGTCCGCAGGCCGACGATCTATCCACTGAGCCAAACCGGTCCTGGCGATATTTTTATATTTGACATGGGTCATATTGTCCAGGTTTTCTGAGGGTCCATAGGCTTTTGTATGGGGAAGGGTGCTCCTCTGTTTAAGGTGTAGAATGATTTCAAACTGATAGTCATGAACAGTGATCATTAACACCTGAAAAAGTACTACATTATCTGAAGTTTGTTTATCACAGATTGTTTCTAGTTGTCATTATGATGGGAAAGCTATTTTCAGGTCATCCCAGAAATGCATGATACAATTAAATCAAGTCCAATATACTTTCTAATACAGATGTACCTTTGATATATTTTTAAAATTAGGAGTCTTTTCAAACACATTTTTTTTTGGTAATTACTTTTTAAAATATATATATATGTAAATGCACATGGGCCATACAATTCACTCAATGGCAGGCAAATGCAGGTTATCTAAAAACTTGATTAGCTGTCTGGAGAGATGTGCTCTAGGTCCTTTATACTCTCTTTTTCAATATGTGATGAACTGTTTTAAATGTTACCTCTTTAGCCCTAACTGGTTTGGCTCAGTGGATAGAGCATCGGCCTGTGGACTAAAAGGTCCCAGGTTTAATTCTAGTCAAGGGCATGTACCTTGGTTGCGGGCACATCCCCAGTAAAAAATCAGTAAGATGTATATTTTAAAAATGTTACTCTTTCAATGTCAAGTTCTTGCAGACAGAAACCATTTTTATCTGTAACACACAGCCCCAGATATTACAACTCTCAAATAGAAGTTAAAGTTATACTGTACCTTCTGGACTGCAAAAGGATCTCTCTGTTCATGGTCTAAGTATTTCTCCAGATTAAAAAAAGTGTCATAAAAGATGTGAGCCATTCTGCATCTCTTCAGATCTCGTAGAGTTATTTTGCCTATGTAAAAACACAGAGCTGGTAAATGCCAAGATCTGTTTTGGCAAATGAAAAAAACTTCTATAAGAGTTTAAAAAGTATATGTAAACATTATATGTATACATTTATCCGAATTTGTCTGGAAGATCATCTGGAAGGACGTCTAGCCTAATCAGACTAGACGTCCTTCCGGACGAAGCTGAGGCTGGAAGGGAAGCCAGGGTCCCAGCTGCCTGCCAGCGGCCAGAGGAAAGCCCACGTCCCAGGTACCAGAGGGAAGCCAGTGACAGCAGCTGGGGGGAGGAAGGCCTACTCCTGCATGAATTTTGTGCACCAGGCCTTTAGTTTTATTATAAAAGTCCCATTTCTTTCCTTTTTGAGGTTAAATTCACGTAACATAAAATTCACCATTTTAAAAGTATTTTAAGTGGCTTTTAGTACACTCAGTGTTGTGTAACCATCACCAGGATTGATTGCCTTACATTTTTTTCACCTTTCAAAAGGGAACTCCATACTCCCCAAGCAGTCCCTCCTCCTTTCTTTTTACTCCCACCTTCAAGCCCTTGCCATTCACTAGTTACTTTCTGTTTCCATGGAAAAAAATACCATTTCTTAAACAGGATTTGCCATCAAATGTTGGTTCCACACTAATAGTAAAGGAGAAACTTAAAAACTGTATTTTGGAAGCCTGCATGAAAGACTCTGTAGAGTTAAGTAATTTAGGACAATCAGGATTACAAGCCCCACTCTGTCACATAGGTGAACAGTGAAAATGGCACTTTACACAACGTTACCATCACTGGCTGGCTTCACCAGGTCAAGCATCTGGCACAGCAAATCATGGAACGGCAAGGGCTCGATGCCCATGGCTTCCATCCGTTCACACTGCTCCTCATAGAAATACTCCAGCTCGTACATGGAGAGCACACCATCCCCATCCACATCCATGCAGCGGAACCAATACTCGATGCTAGGAGAGAGGGACACTCTTTAGCAGTGGCCTGTAAAGGTCCTTTATTCATTCAGATTTATTATTGCCTGCCTTTTAAAATAAAAGTTACAGCCCTAACTGATTTGGCTCAGTGGATAGAGTGTTGGCCTGTGAACTGAAAGGTTGACAGGTTTGATTCCGGTCAAGGTCATGTATTTTGGGTGTGGGCAGAAGGCAGCTGATCGATGTTTCTCTCCCATCGATGGTTCTAACTCTATATCCCTCTCCCTTCCTCTCTGTAAAAAATAAAGTATGTTTAAAAATAAGTAAATAAAATAAAAGTTTCATATTTGTGTGATCACCTCACACCTGTCAGAAAGGCTATCATAAAAAAAAAAAAATGTTGACGAGGATGTCGAGAAAGAGAACTCTCATGCACTGTTGATGGGAATGCAGATTGGTGCAGCCACAGTGGAAAACAGTATAGTGTTTCCTCAAAAAATTAAAAATGGAACTGTCTTTTGATTCAGCAATTCCACTTCTAGAAATATATTCAAAGAAACCTGGAATACTAATTTGAAAGAACATATGCTCCTCTATGTTCATTACAGCATTATTTACAACTAGAGGCCCGGTGCATGAATTTGTGTACAGGTGGGTTGCCTTGGACTGGCCAGTGATCAAGGCTGATCAGGGCCAATTGGAGCCAGCCTGCTGGGGAGAGGGACCACAGGAGATTGGCTGTAGAGCACATTGACCAACAGGGTGCAGCTCCTGCATTAAGCATATGCCCCCTGGTGGTCAGTGCGCATCATAGCTACCGGCTGGTAGTTTGGTCGACAGGTTATAACTGTCACTTAGGCTTTTACATATATGCGAATCTATGCACCAGTAGCTCGCTGCTGCCCTCCAGTAGCTCTCGGCCCACTGCCCCACCCTCCTGTTGCTCCTACCGCCCCCTCTCCCTATCCTCATAGCTTGCTGTCCTGCTCCCTCCTGTAGATCTCTAACCCTAACCCCACCCTCTTGCTGATCTGTGATCTAGTCATTACGCTTTTCTTGATACCTTGTGAGACTCTGGATTCAGTCTGAAAGGCAGAGACCAAGTCTAATCCATCTCGGCTAAGTTGGCATTAACTAGGTATACATCATGACTTTTTCAATGTTTGTTTCTGTTTTTAACATCTTGACAAAAGGAAACTTAGAAGTCATACCTGGTGAGGTTCCTTTTATCTTCCTCCGATATCAAGAACCAAACAAAATCTGCATAGCTCATTCTTCCCTCTTTCTGTACTGTTTTTCCCCTGAGAAAGGAAAACAAAACACAAGCTTTTAGTTTCCTGAGCAATTACTCAAATAAATTTAGTAGGATGGTAGACAAAGTAATATCTTCCTTTGGAAATTAAGTATACTTAAAAAAATAATCACCAGAATCAATACTGCTACCTGCATTTAGATAACTACTGGAGGAAATTGAAGCAATAATAAAATAAAATAAAAACTTCCAACAAACAAAAGCCCTGGACCAAACGGCTTCAGAGGGGAGTTTTATCAAACATTCAAAGAGAAATAAAACGTATCTTCCTCAGACCATTCAAAAAAATTAATGAGGAATGAGCACTTCCAAGCTCTTTCTACAAAGCCAGCATTACGCTAATCCCAAAACCAGATAAAGACAATACAAAGAAAGAGAATTACAGGCCAATATCCCTCATGAACATAGATGCCAAAATCCTCAACAAAATTCTAGCAAATCGAATCAGGCAGTACATTAGAAAGATCATACACCAGGACCAAGAGGGATTTATCCCGGGGATGCAAGGATGGTACAACATCTGCAAATCAATAAATGTGATACACCACATAAACGGAGAGGTAAAAACCATACGATCACATCCATTGATGCAGAAAAAGCATTTGACAAAATCCAACACCCTTTCTTGATAAAAATTCTCAGCAAGGTGGGAATAGAAGGATCATACCTCAACATAATATGACAATCCCACAGCCAACATCATACTCAATGGGCAAACACTAAAACCAGTCAAAACTGGTTTGGCTTAGTGGATAGAGTGTTAGCCTGCGAACTGAAGGGCCCCAGGTTCAATTCCAGTCAAGGGCATGTATCTTGGTTCTGGGCACATCCCCAGTAGGGGGTGTGCAAGAGGCAACTGATTGATGTTTCTCATCGATGTTTCTGAATATCCCTCTTCCTTTCTCTGTAAAAAACAAACAAAAAACCACCCTAAAACCATTTCCCCTAAGAACAGGAACAAGACAGGGATGCTCACTCTCACCACTCCTCTTCTACATAGTACTGGAAGTACTAGCCATTGCCATCATACAAGAAGAAAAAAATAAAAGGCATCCCAAATTGGGAAAGAAGAAGTAAAACTGTCCTTATTCACAGAGGACATGATATTATATAAAGAAAACCCTAAAGACTCCATCAAAAAACTACTAGACTTACTAAATGAATTCAGCAATATAGCAGGATACAAAATTGACACTCAGAAGTCTATGGCTTTTCTATACACCATTAATGAACTCACAGAAAGAGAAATTAAAAAAGCAATCCCATTTACCATTGCAACAAAAAAATTAAGATACCTAGGAATAAATTTACCAAGGAAACAAAGGACCTATACCCAGAAAATTTTAGGATGCTAAAAAAAGAGATAGAGGAAGACATGAACAAATGGAGGAATATACCATGTTCATGGATTGGTAGAATCAACATCATTAAAATATCCATACTACCCAAAGCAATCTATAAATTCAACGCAAGCCCCATTAAAATACCAATGGCATACTTCAAAGACCTAGAACAAATTCTCCAAAAATTCATCTGGAATAAAAAAAGACCCTGAATAGCTGCAGCAATCTTGAGAAAGAGGAACAATGTTGGAGGGATCACAATACCAGATATCAAGCTATACTATAAAGACACTGTTCTCAAAACTGCCTGGTACTGGCATAAGAACTGACATATAGACCAGTGGAACAGAACAGAGAATCCAGAGATCAACATAAGCCATAATGCTCAATTAATATTTGACAAAGGAGGCAAGAGCATACAATGGAGACAAGGCAGTCTCTTCAATAAATGGTGTTGGGAAAACTGGACGGATACTTGCAAAAAAATGAAACTAGACCACCAACCTACACCATACACAAACTCAAAATGGATAAAGAAATTAAACTTAAGATAGAAAACATAAAAATCTTAGAAGCCATAGCCAATAAAATAGCAGACATTTGTCGTAGCAATCTTTACAGATACAGCTCCTAGGGCAATGGAAACTAAAGAAAAATAAACAAATGGAACTTCATCAAAGTAAAAAGCTACTGCATAGCAAAAGAAACCATCCATAAAATAACGAGAGCCCATTGTTTGTGAGGACATATTTGCCAATGTTATCACCTTTAAGGGTTTAATCCCCAATATTTACAAGGAACTCATACAACTTAAAAGGAAGGTAAACAATCCAATCAAAAAATGGGCAAAGGACCTAAAAAGAGGATATTCAGAAAGCCAAGAGACATATGAAAACATGCTCCAAGTCACTAATCCAAGAGAAGCAAATCATAACAACAATGAGGTACCATCTCACACCTGCCAGAACAGCTATAATCAACAAATCAACAGATGACAAGTGCTGGAGAGGATGCCGAGGAAAAGGAACCCTTGCGCACTGCTGGTGGGAAAGCAGACCGGTGCAGCCACTGTGGAAAACAGTATGGCATTTCCTCAAGAAATTAAAAATGGAACTGCCATTTGTCCCACTTCTAGGAATATACCCTAAGAAAACAGTAACACCAATGAGAAAGGATATATCGATACAATAGCTAAGATTTGGAAATAGCCTGAATGCCCATCAGCAGATGAGTGGATTAGAAAACCTGTGGCACATCTACACAATGGAATACTATGCAGCTGTAAAAAAAGGAGGAATTCTTACATTTGTAACAGCATGGATAGATCTGGAGAGCATTATGCTAAGCGAAATAATCCACTCAGTGAAAGATAAATACCACATGATCTAATAGAAGTATGGATAATAAAGAACATTACAAACAGTTGAACAAAAATAGAGGCAAAGAAGCATCGAACAGACTGTCAAACTACAGCCAGAAGATAGGGGAGGGTAAGAGATCAACCGAAGGATTTGTATGCATGCATATAAGCACAACCAACAGACTCATGATACTGGGGGCAGAGGGGATGAGAGCAAGTGCCGGGGGATGGGGAGGCTGGGGAAAGGTCAATGGGGAGAAAAAAAAGACACATATACTACCATTTGTAATACCTTAAACAATAAAATAAAGTAATACTGTCTTATATGAAGCCATGACTGTATACATTGCAGGAAGTCTTGTTACAGTTTTATTTGATCATTAAAAAAAAAAATCCACATTAGAGGTTATGTTTTTTTGTTTTTGTTTTTTTAAATATTTTTTATTGATTTTTTACAGAGAGGAAGAGAGAGGGATAGAGAGCCAGAAACATCAATGAGCGAGAATCATCGATCAGCTGCCTCTTGCACACCCCCCACTGGGGATGTGCCCGCAACCAAGGTACATACCCTTGACCGGAATCGAACCCGGGACCCTTCAGTCCGCAGGCCGACACTGAGCCAAACGGTCTCTGCGAGGATATGTTTTTATTGATTTGAAAGGGAGAAGGAGAGAAACATTGATGTGAGAGAAACATGGATCAGTTGCCTTCCTTACAAGACCTGACCAGGAATTGAACCCGTCACCTTCTGGTGTACAGGACAACACACTGGCAGAGCCACAGTGGCCAGGGCACTTGTAGTTCATTTTTTATTTTCAGAAAATTTTCTTACCTTGTTACTGCCCCAGAGAATATCCTTTCAATAATTCTGTTTGATGAAGCTAAATATAAATAAGAAAGTGCAAAGTTAGTTACAAACATGCTCATAAAGGTAGTACTTTTGGAAAATTTGTTTTTAGTAGTTACAAGCTAAAACATAAAAAGCTTCCACAACAGAATAGGAGTAGTTAAAATTTTCTGCATAATTTGTACTTTTAAAAAATATGAAGTGGCTTAAATCAATCAGTCAATCAATCAATTACTTAAAAAAAAGAAGCAAATGGATGTGCATGACAGCTAGGCTATATTTATATATTGGAATATCAAGTTATTGGTCATTTTATCTAATAAGACAACTTTTTCTCTAAAACAAGACAAATATGTACACAGATAATTTAATAAAAATAAAAAAAAAATCGTACACTTATAGATGAGGACAGTGGAGGTGAGGTAAGGGCAGAGAGTGGGGTAGGAACTGGGTGGAGGGTAGCTAATGGGGGGGAAGAGGAACAATTGTAATAATTTGAACAATAAAGATTTATTAAATTTAAAAAAAAAGATATCCTAGCATTCATTTCAAGGAGGAACTGATTGATCATTGACTCCCAATATAAGGGTTGTTGAATAAAAAAAGGAGAATGCTTTTAAGTAGAATTTTACAAAATATACCAAAAGATACCATAAACATATTTCTTATATTCTCATTCTATAAAAGTCAAGGGTATAACATGGTTTAATGTATCACTTTTTAGAAATTCCATCAGTAAGTTTTATTCAAAGAGAGTGACAAGTATATCTTGAGACAGTATGTTGTTTTTGATAATAGATCCTGGAGTCTAGAGTAACATATCTCATTGTGGGTTCAAAAACACCCCAAAATACTGTTTTTTAAAAAAGAAGACAACAATGGATATCAGACCTAGGGATCTGGTGAGGACCTATCTCTTCTTTTAACAAGTGCCCCAGATAATGGCAAGCACACTAAAATATCAGAACCAATGATAAGATCTGAAATTAGAGAGCTAGCAGCTAGCAGCAGCTAGCATAAACTTAGGTACAATCAGCATAAAAGTAAATTAGTTTGGCTATGGGTGTCAGTACAGTCATGTTTGGCCATGTACTGAAGCTAATGTAAGGACCCTCTAGATTTGTTGAGCATTAGTTTATGGGGTTAATAATTTGAACTAGATAGAACAAAAGAACATTGTATAGGAAAGGCAAGAATATTTCATTCCAAAGCTAAAGTATTTTTTTTTAATGTTTTATTGATTTTTTTACAGAGAGGAAGAAGAGAGAGAGAGAGAGAGAGAGAGAGAGAGAGAGAGAGAGAGAGAAACATCAATGAGAGAGGAACATCGATCAGCTGCCTCCTGCACACCCTGCACTGGGGATGTGCTGGCAACCAAGGTATATGCCCTTGACCAGAATCAAACCCAGGACCTTTGTGTCTGAAGGTTGATGCTCTATCCACTGAGCCAAACCGGTTTTGGTAAGCTCAAGTATTTTTTGAAAGTTTTTTTGTGGTTTTTTTTTTGTTTGTTTGTTTGTTTGTTTTTTAAGATTTGGAAGATTTAGCCCACTAAAACTGAAGATCATGTTGTCCAGTTAAGAACAGGTCAGTGAGTGAGCAATTATATAGTTTCAGTGGCCCATTCATTATGCAGGTCCAACTGCCTGTTTTTCTAGACTTAATCTCTTTAACATGACTGAGTTGCTATGTGTAGATATACACTATTTTTGGATGTATTATGAGTATTATGGTTATGTCAGTCAGAGATAGTGCTTTAGAGCCCATAGGCTTTTTCATGACTTCTAGTGGCTGGCTCATATTCTACAGATGACCTGCCACTAGTAATTAGAAGGTGCATGGCTAATAAAACTGACCCAATGAATAAGGTCCATTTTTTTGGTGACAGGAAGGCTATGAGTACTTGAAATAGTAGTGCTAAAATGCTTATCAAATAAATACATTTGAACATTTTCCTCTTCACGCCTAATTGGCACCTGAGAATCTGAGAGGCAGAACTCTGTTTTTAAAAAATGAAAATTAGCCGAAACCGGTTTGGCTCAGTGGATAGAGCATCGGCCTTCAGACTCAAGGGTCCTGGGTTCGATTCCAGTCAAGGGCATATACATTGGTTGCAGGCACATCCCTGGTTGGGGGTGTGCAGGAGGCAGCTAGTTGATGTTTCTCTCTCATCAATGTTTCTAGCTCTATCTTCCCTTCCTCTCTGTAAAAAATCAATAAAATATATTTTAAAAAATGAAAGTTATATGAAACTTAATATCATATGCTAGTAGGATGAACTTTTTTATTTTATTAATATATTTTGATTTTTTAAAATATATTTTTATTGATTTTTTACAGAGAGGAAGGGAGAGAGATAGAGAGCTAGAAACGTCGATGAGAACTTGCACACCTGTTGCACACCTCTTACTGGAATGTGCCCGCAGCCAAGGTACATGCCCTTGACCAGAATCGAACCTGGGACCTTTCAGTCCGCAGACCGACGCTCTACCACTGAGCCAAACCGGTTTCAGCTAGAATGAACTTTTTTAAAGATGTCTACAGACATGCCAAATAGCAGAAGCAAAATTCAATGCACTTCTTTTAAGATTTGTACTCTGCTGCATTTAAAAGGCTTTTAAGGTTGACTTAAGAAAAATCACCAGTGCCTGAGGAGACATGTAAGAACTGAACAGGGACAATCTTATGAGAGGAGAATGAACCACTGTATCTTGGTTAAAAATATTAAGTCAGTCGGTTCTAAGTTTTCTACTGCTAAAAGTGAAGCAAAAAGGAGTATGTGAAATATAATTTTTGTTTTCTGACAAAAGAAAGCACAAAAGTCATTTGCAAAAAATATATATATTTTGAACTAAATTCCTTTTAAAAGTAAGTTTTTATGAGTCTTTCAAAACGTTATTTTTATCCATGCATGTGTATAAATACTATGAGAAATTTATAAAAGGAATATACCTATTCTCTTTCAAATAAACTATTAAATTCATAATCAGAAAATAAACAACACAGGCTCTCCAATTCATCAAAACTAAAACTGTAATTGCTTACTTACCTCCATATACCTGGTTTCTAAATTAAAAAATTAGTATTTTCACTTATTCCCACTTAACATTTTAACATTCTTGGCCCTTTATGTTAAAAAATTGAAATTCTCCATAATGAGTGGGGGACAATCTTCTTCAAAACAGTTAAGTATCAACATCTATAGATACTCACCCTGGTCATTGTATCGAGACAGATCGGCCTGGCTGATGTAGAGGTCATGATCACTATCTAGTTCCCAAAATTTACAATAAATAACATAAAAATGTTCATAGGAAAAGTAGTCTGTGATTTGGTTTATATCTTCCTCCTCTTCCAAAAGCGCTAGAGTCTGAAATGGTATGAATAAAGAAAATTTATTTTAAAATTATAAAAACCCAGCTTTGGGCATTATATAGAATCTAGTAAATTTTTCCTTTAAATTGAATTAAAAAATTTGGTTTTGGTATCAAATCAGGAACTTTAATAGGTAACATCACTCTCCCTTTAATCTCCTCATCAATCTATAAGCATTAACACATTTTGGACCAGTAGTTTTATTGCTAGCTTTACCCAATAGCTAGATAAGTTTCTATTGAACAATGACAAAAAACGTTTTACATAAATGTTAAAGGCACACTTTAAAGTTAAACACCCATTGAGTTTTGAAGTTATTTATTACATGTTCTTACAAGCTAATATCTTTTTAAAGAATTCTTGTGTTTGGCCATAAGCCTTACAGCAGAAAACACGAGAATCTTTGTGATCTTTCTGTAATGTGTTAATGAACTCTGCAATATGCTTAGCAAAGGGTTAGATGCTATGGAGGATTTAAAAGCAAGAAAAGGGAAAGATCATCACCAAGGGGACTGCAGCCTATCCGAGGCCCCCAGATCAACAAGCACAGAACAATTAACAACAGGCTTAGTTACATGACCACATATTGACATGCTTTTAACTTTTTAGTTATGCAGTGACATCTATTTTATTATGAAGAGTGGGCATCCACATATAGGGTTTTTCTATTCTTTTTTTTAAATCTTCACCTGGGGATATTTTTTCCATTGATATTTAGATAGAGTGGAAGAGAGGGAGGGAGGGAGAGAGACATTAGATAGAGTGGAAGAGAGAGAGGGAGAGAGAGAGAGGGAGGGAGGAAGGGAGGGAGAGACACATTGATTGGTTGCCTTCTGAACTTACCCAGATCGAAGCTGGGGATCGAACCAGCAACCCAGGTATGTGCCCTAGTCAGGGAGTCAAACTTGAGACCCTTTCAATGCTCTAACCACTGAGTAATACTGGCCAGGGTTTTAATGTCATCCTAATAAATTCAATTAAAAAATGAAACACTAAAAACCCCAAAACTAAAAAAACCAGCCATATAAAACCATACTTTTAACTTTTATATCTATATATGAATAAAACCACAAATAAATGGGTTCCCTCTAGGGAAAAGGGGGTGAAATGGCAGGGTAATGAGGTAAATAGTGACTTCAGATTATTATTCTAAATATGTTAATGTTATTAGAATACCAGAGGCCCAGTGCACCCATTTGTGCATGGGTGGAGTCCGGCCGGCCCAGTCCCAATTGGGGCAGATGGAGACTGGGCCTGTTAGGAGGAGGAGATGGCAGGAGGTTGGCTGCCAGCCTGCCCCTATCAGGGTCCAGTCAGGGCCAAGCTGGTTGGGGGTAGGGGCTGCAGGTGATTGGCCCGCAAACCCCACCCCGATTGGGGTTGGGGTCAATTGGGGGCAGGGCCAGCCATGGGGAGGGGCTGTGGGCTATCATGGTGGGGCGGGCTGATTAGGGTAAGGTGGTGGGGGGGGCCTGGGCTGGCTGTGGGGAAGGAGGGAACGTTTGGCTGGAGGCCAGCTCTTAATCTGGGTGGAAGAGTCTGGTCAGGGGCAAGCCAGCAGGGGGGAGGGGCCGTGAGGTTGGCAGGTCAGCCCCACCCCCTGATGGGGCCAGTTTGCTGGCCCCAGTGGGCGTCATAGTGACTGGTCCTTAAGGTTGTTATGGCTGTACGGTCGCTGGCTTTTTATATAGAGAGATTTTATGAGCATATATTCATGTATAAGAGGAAGGCTAAGGAGAGGGGTAAGGAAGAAAATAGAGAGGAGAATAAGTCATACTCTAGGAAGAACAACACTTGAATTCTAGTTCTAATTCAGCCAACTGTCCTGTAGTTGCTGTTTGATCTTATCTAAATCATTCAATCATATTTGGGCCTCACATTTTATCATAAGTTTTAAAAAAGGACTATAATGATTCAGAAACTACAAACTCTAATATGCTTCAGGAATGTGAGGTATAAGGCCTTTTAGGGAATTATTGACATCTAAACCCAATCCATATCACTTATTGCGAGCCCAGGCATGCACAAGGACTGCAATAGATATTAATAATAACTGTGATGATTACTGTTCATTTTAGAATACAAAAAGTTTGTATATCTATTATGGGCTGATAATTTTGCCAAGTCTACATTACTCTGTCCCAGATAAAGTCAGAAAAAATATACATCAAATAAGGTTGTCTTAGCTTAAACTACTTTTAGCATAATTCATTTAAAATGAAATATTTCATTTATTTCCAAGTGCAAACATTTTCACCTTCTTCAGGACAACAGAGGCTTGAACAATCCAGCATGAAGATTATCTCGGTAAAAGGCTCCCACTAGTGGTCAGTACTTTCTCATAAAATAAATAAAATAATTGAATAAAATGCACTCTTTGTTAGAAGGAATTTTTAGCCGGAACTGGATAAAGGGTCATTGTTGAAACGATTAAGTTGGAATTCTTCTATTTCTTTTGCAAGGCTCTTCCCAACCCCACTCCATCTCACCCCTCAAGCCTGATCACTGGCCACTCTCTGTGGAGCCTTTGGCCACTTAAGACTGTCCTGCAGTTCCTGAACGTGACACTTTCATGCTTCTGGGCCTTGCTTATGCTGCTTCCTTTATCTGGAATACCCTTTTCTTCTAATTTCTATCTTGGTAAACTCCTGATATCTCCCAGGTCAAGATCACATGCCAGTCCTTCTATGGTCTTCTTTTCATATTTATACTTTTCTGTGGAATTTTTCAAGTCAGGTATGACAGTGCTCTTTTTTTTTAAATACTGTATATTTTTAATGATTCTGAGAGGAAGGGAGAGGGAGAGAGATAGAAGCATCAATGATGATAGAGAATCATTGATTGGCTGATTCCTGCAACCCCACCCCCCTTTACTGGGGATCGAGCCCGCAACCAGGCATATGCCCTTGACTGGAATCGAACCTGGGACCCTTAAAGTCTGCAGGCTGACATTTTATTCACTGAGCCAAACCGAGTATGGCAGTGCACTTTCTCTTTTGCCCTGCAGTGCAGGTGTTGATGTAAAAATCCCTTATTATTCATCTTTGTTCCTCCCAACACATCTCAGTTATCTGATAAATGCTTACTGACTGAAAGTAGTGACAGAACTTCACATACATAAGCACTCAAATATTTGTTAAATGAAGTAAAAATATTATTTAAATTGTTCCTTATATGTGAATTTCAATGAGGCATACTTGCAAAAAGTTGCTTTTTCTTATCTCCGTCGAAGTAATTTTCCCACTCCAAGATCTGTTCACTGTATAGAATATTCTTTGAATAACCTGGTTCCAAAGGAAAACAAAACCAGATAAAAACATTAAAGATATCAATTACTTCACCAAAGGCTACTGCATCTTATCAACATACTTTATAAATCAGATAAATTTTGGCTTTTAGATTATGTCAAGTATCATTTATAATAAAAATTAAAAATGAACTCTTTAAAAAAAATCTACAACTATATAGCTTGCATCTGCCCCTAACAGTCCAAGAATAAAAAAAGTAATGTCTTTCCACAAGTCTGCCTTTGCCCCGCTGCCTCCATGTCACTTTCTTAGTTTATCATCTTATACTGTGATGCCTGACTCAAGTAGTACTGGATGTTTGGGAAGGTAAATGAGGGGGAAATATATACCGGGTTTGCTGAATATTCAATGGGTCAGAAGAATGGCTGCCAGTGTGATAGGATTCAAGAAAGCATTATTTTGGTTATGATAGCTTAATTCATTGGAGTCCTTAAGACAGTCTTGCAGGGTCTCTCTTTAAATTCAAATACATTGTGATAATTTACATCCCGGATCCTTATTTGGGGATTAACAATTTTGTTGTTAGCTAGTGTTTTATTGAGTTGAACAGATATGAAACCATGGAGAAGATACTGGACGGGATGGGAGGGAAGGACTGGGTAGCAAATGTGTATGAGATTGGGGATGCGTGTGCTGTGGTTTAGGGGAGAGCAGGAGAAGAAAGACGGCAGGAGGCCACAGTGCATTCTTAACTTTACCTGGGGTTATTCCTACCCAATTAATTTTGATCTATTAGTTGTTGTATTATTTCCTCCAAAAGGAAGCAGAGATGAGGACAATTTAAGCAGCTTTCTAGGGAGTATTTTGGTTTTAATTTTAATTGTCTAAATAACATAGAAATCCTATATTCTTAGTTGTTATCATGAAAGAGATCCTTTTAATTTTTGTTAATCCTCACCTGAGGATATTTCCCCATTGATTTTTAGAGAGAAGAAAGGGGGGAGGGGCAGAGAGAGAGAGAAAGAGAGAGAGAAACATTGATGCAAGAGACACATCAATTGGTTGCCTCCTACATGCGCCCCAACCAGTGCCAGGAATTGAGCCTGCAACTGAGGTACGTGCTTTTGACCAAAGTCAAACCCAGGACCCTTCTGGGCCAATGCTCTATCCATTGAGCCAAACTGGCTAGAGCAAAGTTAGAGTATTTTAAAATGCTATTTTAGTACAAGAACACAAAAAGGAAAGACATTTGGACACCTATCCAAAAAGATCTAGTGAGGGACTAATCTACCATCCTGCTTCTGGATTCTTTAGCAGAGTAATTTTCAAACAGAACAGGGAACAACTAGCTTCAGGATGAAGGTCCAGACTTCTGCTACTCAGCATTCCTCACCCCACCCTGCTGTCAGTGCCAACTCCTTCTGACCCTTCAGAATTTAGCTCAGTTGCCAAGTCCACACGAAGCTCCAGAACAGGGGCTGGGGCAGAGCTCTGTCTTCTGTGATCCTGCTGTCACCTGTCTCCTTCAGTCACTCTGTGCTTATATTCTAAACACCGGTGTACCTGACCATCATCACCTCTAAACTCTATTGCGTGCAAGCGCCTGACACGATGCTCTGCGTATATCATGGTAAATTATTTGATAATTTTTTAAAAAATTGAGGTTAACTAATATACATTAGTCAGGTGTACAATATAATGATTCAACATTTCTATATATTGTGTAGTGATCACCACAATAAATTTCCTTAACATCTGCCACCATACATGGTCACAGAACCCCCCCCCCCCTTTGTGATGAGAACTTTTAAAACTTTTAAGTCACTCTTAGCAACTTTCAAATCTGCAATATGGTATCACTGACTGTAGTCACTATGCTGTACATCACATCCCCAGATCTTATTTGGTAACTGGAAGTTTATACCTTTTGACTCCCTACACCCATTTCTCTCTGATTCTGGCAACCACCAATCTGTTCTCTGTATCTATGAGATTGGAGTTTTTATTTTTGTTTTTAAGATTCCACATAAAAGTGAGATCATACAGTATTTTCCTTTCTTAATCTGACTTATTTCACCAACCATAATGCTCTCCAGGTTCATAAATGTGATCACAAATGGCAATACTTCATTCTTTTTGTATGGCTGAATAATATTCCATTGTGTGGACTTGTCTTCATCTATTGATGTTTATGTATCTTGGCTACTGTAAATAATGTTGCAATTAACATGGGGTACATATATCTTTTTGAATTAGTGTTTTCATTTTCTTTTGAGTCATATGGAAAGTCTATTTTTGATGTTTTATTTAAATTTTTTAAATTGATTAAAGGAGAGACATGGGGGAGGGGGGGATAGACGCTAGACCGATTTACATTCCAACTAACAATCCACAAGGTTTCCCTTTTCTTCCCTATTATTTCTTGTCTAATATATAAAATCCCTGGGTCTGTCACACCCACAATGACCGGAGACTCAACCAACCATAAGTCAGTCCTGCAGTCAGCACCAGGTTGCCATGATGACCCAGCACTGACTGCTAAATGGGCTGCGAATCAGGCCCGGAGAGAAGCCTGAAGAGAAAAGCAGGGTCTGATCCATAGCCTATGACAGCTATTGATCAGCACTTGCCTCTCTCTTTCTCCCCGGGCCTGGCCAACAACCACACCTCCCCTTTTTTCTGATCAGTGCCGCCTTATTATTTTTTTTAAATATATTTTTTATTGATTTTTTTTTTTTACAGAGAGGAAGGGAGAGAGATAGAGAGCTAGAAATGTCGATGAGAGAGAAACATCAACCAGCTGCCTCTTGCACACCACCTACCGGGGATGTGCCCACAACCAATGTACATACCCTTGACTGGAATCAAACCTGGGACCTTTCAGTCTACAGGCTGACGCTCTATCCACTGAGCCAAACTGGTTTCAGCAGCGCCACCTTTTTAATCAGGCCCCATTGATAGGCCCAGAGACAATGACTGGCATAGAAACCAACCAATCAGAACCAAATTTGGGTCAACTGTGAGGAGCAATGGCTGCCTAGGAGGCAGAGCTTTTGACGATGACTGGCACAGAAACTGACCAATCAGAACCAAATCTGGGTCAACTGTGAGGAGTCAATGGCTGCCTAGGAGGCGGAGCTTTTGACACTAGCATAGAAACCTACCAATCAGGACCAAACTGGCTGGGAGAAGAGGGCAGTTGGGGGAGAGATCAGGCCTACAGGGGAGAACAGTTGGGGGCAAGATCAGGCAGGCAGGGGAGGGCAGTTGGGGGCAACCAGGCCAGCAGGGGAGGGCAGTTGGGGGCAATCAGGCAGGCAGACAGAGGCAGTTAGGGGTGATCAGGCAGGCAGGTATGCAGAGAGGTTGGGGTGATCAGGCAGGTAGGCAGAGGGGTTAGGGGCAATCAGGCAGGCAGACAGAGGCAGTTAGGGGTGATCAGGCAGGCAGGCAGGTGAGCGATTAGGAGCCAGCAGTCTCAGATTATAAGAGGGATGTTCGAATGCTGACAATAGGACATCCCCCAAGGGTCCATGATTGGAGAGGGTGCAGGCTGGGTTGAGGGAACCTCCCCTCTGTGCACGAATCCCATGCACCAGGCCACTAGTCTTTTTTTATAATAGCCAGGTATGAGGTGATATCTCATTTTGATTTTGATTTTCATTTCCCTGATGATTAGTGATGTTGAGCATCTATCTTTTTATTTACTTGTTGGCCATATGTATGTCTTCTTTGGAAAATTGCTTGCTAAATTAATGAGGTATCACCTCATAAAGTTTCAATGATTTCATACCATTCCTTGACCAAGTTTCAGTGGCACAGTGTAGACTTTTGTGTTACATTTGTGATAGAAATAAATGTGTTAGATTCACAGCTAGTTGAATAATGCTGTTCAGAGTTACGAATAGTATGGATGCTAAGAAAAGTATCTAATGAATATTTTATATAAAATAGTATTGTTATCTATGATTTATAGATTGAATATAAAAAGTGATTTATAGATTGAATATAAAATGTGCAGAAAGGGTTAATATAGTCTAAATTATTGTGAAAGATATTACTAATGGAGTAATGCTTACTTCTTGAGGAAAAATTGAGAGTGTAGATGTGTCCATGATCTGAATGGTTGACTATTAGGTCGAAGAAGCTGGCTCTTTTTGTTGTCCCAGAGCTCAGAACTAGAACTACTAGATAGAAATGCCTTTATACCGAAATATTTCAATATAAGGAGGAGTTTCCTAAAATTAACTCTCTGAAGCAATGGGCTGTATGAAGAAGTGAAGTTTCTTCTTACCACTATTATTTAGAAGTTGTTAGGATTCCTGCATTAAGTGGGACATGGAACTGCTTGGCGTTTAATTTTCCAACTGGCCCCAATCACTCCAACTCTGACTGAGATATTTCAGGGCAGAGAATGTGTCTTATTTAACACTGTATTCTTAGTACTGGCTTGGCTGAAGTTCATATAAAAAAGCTGGAGCACTTTTTAGCATAGAAAAAAATATATATATATTTTAGGCAATGGAAAATGGATATTTTCCTTTGTTGAACATTATATTTTTGTGGTTATTTCTCAATTTTGAATATAAATTTATCTTAAAGTCTAAGTTTCCTATCTCTATAAATTTTATATTTATATACTCCTCAGATATCTTATATTACTTATGGAATATTATTACATTTAAAATTATAAATCTTTAATGTGCATTTTTGCTTCTTATTTTATTCCTTTCTTGTATATTTTTTGTTTTTTGACAGAATTTTTAAAATTTGCAAACATTAATGCTATTAAATATTTCCTATTTTAGCCTCTTCTAACATACATCTATAATGCTATAAAAATGTACCTGGAAAAAAATGAACCTGTATTCTATTTTTCCATTGCCTAAAATATAATACCTCCTTATTTAGTGGCCCCACTTCATCAGCACATTTATGTTTCCACGTTACTGATTCAGCATTTTAGCTTACTGAGGTAAGGGCACCATCTAGTGGTGAAAACATGTAGCTGTTGGTTCTACATACATTTTTCCTTC